CAATATTAACTTACAATACAATTTCAGTGTCCTAGAAGGATCTGACCTTACAAATTAAAGGCTTCTGATTAGGAGAAAAGCTGATTAACTGGTTAGGGGGGAGAGCAGAGAGAAGTGGTTACAGATAAACGAAGGAATGGGAGTGATTCGGGAGCACTGTGATGGGTGTAACCTGATAAACCTAAGTTCCTTGTGGAGAAAGGAAGAAAGGACAAAGCAATGTCATCTTACAAGCAACCTCTCTGATCTCCGAAGGGGAATTTTTAAGCCAATCAGGGTTTTCCTGGTCAGGACTAGTGAGAAAATCTACACGATGAAACCTGTTATCCCCTTTGACAAATCATCTTCTTTTAGCTAATTGTCTTCATTGATGAAAGGAAGGAAGTGATCCTGCAAGGCTTGGTGTGAATATTGATTGATCTACGGGCACTTGCATGTCTCCCGATGAAGCACAATGGTTGCAAATCCATAGTTTTTAATTGTATGATAATTTTATGTGATTTGCCCCATCTTCACAATCAATGACAGAAGTGGGTATCATGCCCAGTAACTGGGGAATATGTGGCTCCAGCTCTGGCATGAAAGGTCTACAATCCTACTCAGGCCACTCCTCAGTGGTGCTTAGATCTTTCTTCTTCTTCTTCTTCTTCTTCTTCTTCTTCTTCTTCTTCTTCTTCTTCTTCTTCTTCTTCTTCTTCTTCTTCCTCTTCCTCTTCCTCTTCCTCTTCCTCTTCTTCCTCTTCTTCCTCTTCTTCCCCTCCCCCTCTCCCTCCCCTTCCCCTCTTCTTCTTCTTCTTCATCGTCTTTGTCTTCGTCTTCGTCTTCTTCGTCTTCTCTTCTTCGTCTTCGTCTTCTTCATCTTCATCTTCTTCGTCTTCGTCTTCTTTGTCTTCGTCTTCTTCATCTTCTCTTCTTCGTCTTCGTCTTCTTCGTCTTCGTCTTCTTCGTCTTCGTCTTCTTTGTATTCGTCTTCTTCGTCTTCGTCTTCTTCGTCTTCGTCTTCTTCGTCTTCTCTTCTTCGTCTTCATCTTCTTCGTCGTCTTTGTCTTCTTCGTCGTCTTCGTCTTCTTCGTCTTCGTTGTCTTCGTCTTCGTCGTCTTCGTCTTCTTTTTCGTCTTCTTTTTATGTAGGAGTTTGGCATATTTTATACATCACGGGGAGCTTGCCAGGCTTTGCCGTGCGGGCATCTCACGATGAAGATGTTACTGGACCCGCACAAGCAAATTGATGAACAACGGGAGGACAGTGCTACAGTGCTATGTAGGAGTATTGCTATTTATTCAGCCATTGATTAGGCTGATTGAATTGGGCATGAATTCCACCTTACTTTTTTTCCCCTTTTTTAAATAATTTTATTTATTGAATCACCGTGAGAGCAGTTACACAGCTTTTGGGTTTAAGTCTTGGTTATACAATGAAACACCCAGACCTTTGAAAGATAGCCCCATGACAATTGGGCCCCAGCAAAGCAAGTCCCAGCCCATATCCCGTCCTGCAGCTGTGGCAGGCTAGCAACACCAAGCACCCCCATGTCCTCCTTGCACCTGGAACTCGCCAGATAAGGCCACAAAGCCATGTAATAGTTCAAATGTATCAGATGCTTTGTGTGCGGGTTTGTTCTGAAATGCGCGGGAAGATACCCTATAAAAAGCCCCCTCTGAAGGGGCTCGGGGCTCTCAGTCACTGACAGTTTCTTGTCATGCTGTGAGCCCGAGCATGCTCGAATAAACCTCTTGCTTTTGCATGGACTTGGTCTCTCAGAGTTTTCCTTGACAGGTGAAGCTGTCCTGAGCTCGGACCCTAACACCTTCACCAGTGCCCATTTTCCACCACCAAAAACCCCAGTTAAACTTCCCACCCCACACCTTCCCTCTACCTGTGGGGGCAGATGATTTCCACATTACTCTCTCTCTACTTTGATTTCATTCAATATTTTGACACCAGACCCACCATTATTATTTGGGATTTTACCCCAACACTCAGATCTGCTGAAAAGGCAACAGTAGACAATTTGTTTTCTATTACTGGTTATGAATAACATATGATGTTGCGCGGCTGCAGTAGTGGCAGCGTGATTTTGGAATTCCAAAGTTTTGACAATTAAATCTGGAGGGATTTCTGCCAAAACCTGCTGGGTTCCGAGATTTGTTCCTGAGTCTCTTGGATCATGGCCGTTAAGCAGCTTGATCAGGAGCCAGAGAGGCCATACGTGGGCAGCGACTCGGGATTTCATTGGGGCAGGGAGGAAAGGGCTGGTTCCACCCCCATCCTGTGAGGCCCTGCGCCCTGTGAGTCTCATCACTGCGGGCCCAAACCTGACCATTCAGTGGCCTCTGGAGGATGGCCGCCACTGAGCCGCCAGGGGGAACAGGCCAATCTTTTGCCTTTTCTTCCCAAACTTAAGATTGTTCTTTAGCAAAACATATACAGCACCATTTCATAATGCTGAGATGAGAGCTGAACACAGCAGAGTGGGTGGGAGTTAGTACAAACTCTTATCTTGGCTGTTACAACTTCCAGGTAGCTACAGATCTGCTCCAACAACTTTATTCTGAAACATGTCCAGATTTTCCCCACAAGCACCAACTGACCCCACCTAATGCAATGTCAGGCAATGTTTATAAAGATTGAGGCAAACTAGAGTACTTTTTAAATCTAATTAAAAGGTATGTTACTGGGGCCATACCTGGGTTGCTAAGGGGACTCAGGCCACTCCTCAGTGGTGCTTAGAGAGCCATGCCTCACACATTCAGAGCAGATGCTCTATCACTGGAGTCAATCCCTGTGTTGGAGGAAGTGCTTGGTCAGGGCTCATGTTTTTGTTTTTATTTATTTTTAATTTATTTGGTTTTGGGGTTATACCTGGCAATGCTCAGGGGTTACTCCTAGCTCTACACTAAGGAATCATTCTCAGCAGTGCTCTAGAGACCATATGAGATGGAACCTAGGCTGGGAATAGGGATAGAACCCAAGAACCCTACCCACCTACCCACTTGTATTATCTCTTCAACTAAGGCTAAAACTTCTGAGGCTCAGATCAGGTACCCAAGACTTACATAGCTAAGAATTTAAGCACAGAGGTCAGAGGACTAAAGTATGGGAAAGGATTACTAGCGAACAGGTCACCCTGAGAATAATAAAATCAAGTAGCATTGGTCTGAAGAGACAGTACAGCGGGTAGGGCTTTTGCCTTGCCTGCAGCCAACCCCCGGCCTGCCAAGAGTGATCCCAGAGAGCAGAGCCAGAGCAAGCCCTGAGCACGTTAGGTGTGGGCCCCAACCTAGCCAACCAAACAAACAAATCAAGTAGCTTTATTCCTCCTAAGTCAAGCAGCTTATTAGAAGCAAGAGTACATACACAGAGGGTGAGCGCATACTGCAGGGAATAACATCGTTTCTATACAGCTCTAGGTTATGTAGGCACTGAAATGGGATAATAATAAGGGACAAAATAGTCAGGGTCATGGTATTTCAAAGAAGAGAGAAGAGAGACTTTTTTTTGTTAATTTTTGGGCCGCACCATGCCGTGCTCAGGGACGATTCCTGGCTGTACTCAGGGATCAGTCCTGGAGAGCCGACTGGGGTGGGGGTGGGAGTAGACACACCATTCATTCATTCATTCATTCATCATCCTGTTATTCGTCGATTGCCTCAAGCAGGCCCCAGTAACGTCTCTTTCATCCTAGCCCTGAGATTATATTCAAGGCTCTTTAGGAGAATGAGACCCATCATTGTTACTGGTATTTGGCATATTTGGTACGCCACGGGGAGTTTGCCAGACTCTGCCCTGTGGGCAGGCTACATTTGATAGCCTGCAAGTTTGTCCAAAGTAGGAATGAGATAATAAGATGTCATAAAATGATGTACTAATAAGATGTTGCGCGGCCGCAAATGCGGCCGCGCGGTTCCAGGAACTGGATTTTATAGTCTCTGAGTCTTGGCCGTTGATGGGATTACATGGCACCAGGGGGCCAGGTGGTGGGTGTGACCCCCGCCTACCGGAATTTGGAGGATCTGGGTGGAGGATGCTCGACTCCAATCCGAGTAGGCACACCATTATGGGATCAAAACCGCATTGCCGCATGCAAGGCAAGGGCCCTACTCGTGGTATTATCTCTCAAGCCCCAAGGGAGGGCTTTTAAGATGGTGATTTCTCGTAGGGTGTTTGGAGGATCCTCCCAGGATGGGAGATGCATGTTGAAAGTAGACTATGGACCAACATGATTGCCACTCAATGCCTCTTTTGCAGACCACAACACCCAAAAGGAGAGAGAGGACAAAAGGGAATGCCCTGCCACAGAGGCAGGATGGGATGGGGAGATGGGGGTGGGAGGGATACTGGGGATCCATGGTGGTGAAAAATGGGCACTGGTGGAGGGATGGGTATTTGGTCATTGTATAATCGAAACCCAAGTCTACAACTGTACCTCATGGTGTTTCACTACTAAAAATTAAAAAAAAAAATGGTAATTTCTCAGAGTCAAGGTGTCACCCATATTCTAACCATAGTTGGTTGTGTCTTGAGATCGCCATGGTAACCATATACGGACTTAACCAGGAGGGTGTGACTTTACTTATTTTGTGTGAGGGGGTGGGGGTGATTTTCTGTTTAGAGAAACGCATATGTAAAATCTGGTTTATATTTGCAAAGAAGGTCCAGTAGGGTCTTGACGTGAGCCCAGGGAGGACAACTACCGTGCGTGCTGGGAGCCACAAGGGTGTACTCTCTTTGATGAACTTTTGACATCTCACTCCGCAGAGGAGACAAACATCCAGGTGATTGAAAGCATGGATAAATGCATGCTGATAATGCGAGTTCCCAGATCCCAGTCTGCAGGAAACCCATCCTAAGCGGCAGGGCATTTACACGCACGCTAACTTTAAGTGGGCACCAGAGGGCGCCCGCGAGGTCCCGTCTCCCGCGATCTTTGAGGATTCTCGCCGGGGTCCTTAGCAGGACGGCGCACAGTTACGTCACATCCGCACCTACGTCACGCTCGGGGAAGCGGAGAAGCTAGAGGCCAAACGAAACCAAGCCCGGAGTTTCTCGGCTCGAGGTTCTGGCCCCTGCGTGGGAGCGCCAAGCCTGCATGGATTCTTAAAGGTGACATGAGTTGGTGGTGGTGGTGGTGGTGGTGGTGGTGGTGGTGGTGGGGGCGTGGGGTCAGGCTGGCTGGGAGCGTGTGCGTGGAGGCGCAGAGGAGCCCGGCCCTGCCCCGGGACTGGGTCCGGTCGGCCCGCGCGCCGGGGACGCGTGACGCAAGCGCCGTGTGCGCAAGCGCAGTGGGGATCGGGCGGCGCGATCGTAGCCACCGCGGCGAGTCCCGTGCTGCGCCCCTCTGGGGGTGGGTGTCCGAGGGCACCGAGCCAGGCGCGCACCGGGGGCTCGGGAGCCGGCCAGTCGGAGGCCGAGGTCAGCGCAGAGCAATTTTAAGTGACCCACGGCAGGAGGTCGAGCTTTCTTACCCCCCCGCCCCCGACTTTTTGAACTGCAGTTGGGGTCGGTGATTGCATCGGTGCATCGAGTGCGCGCGGTGTGTGTTCCACGGGGGAGCTCAAGTGAAGAGTCAGACCCCCGCCTGGTGGGGTGTCCACTTCGGGGGGAGCCGAGAAGGGAGCGCAAGTGCAAAAGAGGAAGCTGCCAGAGTTGGTGGGCGACGCGTCGGTGCCGCGGAACCCGGCCGCGGCTCGCTGGAGCGCTGCGCTCTGTGTCAGATGGGGATGCCGCCGGTTGGGCCCGATCGAGGGGGGAGACGGGAGCAAAACCCTGCGGGAGGTGCGGGAAGCGGGTGTGGCCCTTCCCTGGGGGAGGAAAAAGCGGCCGGTCACCTGTGGGGGAGGGGAGGAGATGGAGCTGCGGGAGACAGAGGGTGTTTCTTAGCTGCTCGTTGCTTTGGCCTCCCTCTGAGCGGGATGGGACACGCAGCCTCTGAGCTTTGAGCAGAGGGATGGCGTGAGTAGGACTTCATTGGCTTGCTTTGCTTCTGTCCTTGCCAAGCCTCGAGCATCTCATCTCAAAAATGAAATAGCGAGGTCTGTCTGTCTGTCTTTCTTTCTTTCTTTCTTTCTTTCTTTCTTTCTTTCTTTCTTTCTTTTTCTTTCTTTCTCTTCCTTTCTTTATTTCTTTTCTTTCCTTCCTTCCTTTCTCTTCCTTTCTCTATTTCTTTTCTTTCCCTCCCTTCCTTCCTTCCTTCCTTTCTTTCTTTCTTTCTTTCTTTCTTTCTTTCTTTCTTTCTTTCTTTCTTCCTTCTGAATCGTTCTTGCAGACTTAGACCTGAGGTTGGGGCATACCAGCTGTTGCCCTGGCTACTGCCAGGGGGTGCCCAGAGGACTGAATAATGCCTGGTGGGACTCTTGCCTTTAATTTAAACACCATCACCTATGCCCCTTCCCAACCCGCACATGGCCTTGAGGCGTGTGCGGTGAGCCCGCACTTAAGAAAGAATCTAGGATTAAAAAGTACTGCCTTTAGGCTTACATGATAAGTTTATTGGGACTGGGACAGGGGCAGATAGAAAAGAGTTACTGGAAAGTAGAAGAGGAAAAAAAAACCTGTCCAGCCAGAGAGGCACTTACTATCGCATTTTTAAACTCTAGGCCTACATATCTAAATGTCCTAGCGTCTGTAAGGATAACCATCGTTTGACTAAAATATGAAGATTTACTGAGCTAGAAATAGAAAGTCTTTTGAAAAATCAAATAGGTCAGATTTTCATTTTCAAAAGAGAAAGATGGGGCTGTAGAAAATGGGGCTGGAGATTTGTACAGCGGGTAAAGTGCTTACTCTGACCTGGGTTTGATCCCCAGCATCCCATAAGGCCCCCCCTCAAGCACTGCTGGGAATAATTCCTGAGTGCAGAACCAGGAATAATCCTGAGCATCATCAGTGGGTGTGATTCAAAAACTAAGACGTGAAAGGTGGAACCCAAGCGATCAAACAAATGGAGGTTAAGGTGTTTGCCTTGTGTAACTGGGTTCATTTCATGGCATCACATATAGTCCCTGAGCACTGCTGGATGTAGCCTCAAAACTAACCCAAAAAAGTGAAACATTAGGGGCCACAGAGATAGTACAGTGTTTAAGGCCCTAGCCTTACATGTGGCTGACCTGGGTTCAATCCCAGGCACCATATTGTCCCCAGGAGGGTGGGGCTGGGGGGAACAGGACAGTAGGATAGACACAGGGATGGGACCCTGAACACAGACCAACGAGTAGTCCCTAACACTGCTGGATTTCCCCCAAAACCTCACCCTTCCCCCCCAGAAAAGGTGGAAAATAAGGAGGCCCGAGAGGTAATTTAATGGGACTAGAGCACATGGGGCCTAGCGTAGATCCTGAGCACCTCTTGGTATAGCCCCCAAACAAAAAGTGAAAATAGTTTGAACTTTGGTAATCTGTTTCTGGCTCTTTTTTGCACTTACTACAGGTGTGATCGACAGTGGGAAAGATGCCAGGCCCAGCCACCACATATGAAAGAATCGTTTACAGAAATCCCTCCGAGCACCACTACATGAAAGTGTGCCTGTAAGATCAGTCTCTGAAGTTCCATTTTATTTTTTTATTTGGGGAGGGGGGAGGGGGAGGGGTGGTTCTTGGCTCTGTGCTCAGGAGTCCTCATATACTGTCTCTCCTGCCCCGAAGTCCTATTTTAAGTTACTTTGAAAAAATTAGCTTGAATAGTGCAAAACAGTGCTCTGTTTTTTTTTTTCTTTCTGATGTTTTAAAAGAGAATTTCAAGACCATGGTATTGGACTGAATGCTGCACAGTTCAAACAGCTGCTTATTTCAGCCCTGAAGGACCTGTTTGGAGAGGTATGGAGTCACCTGGTGGAATGAACATTTGTGGTCTTAAAACTCTTAAAACAGGGTCAAAGATGGTGCAGAGATTAGACACTTGTGTGTGGCTGTGTTTGTGAGCCTGGCTTGAATCATCAGCACCACATAAGGTCCCACGGTACTGCCAGGCATTTAAAAAAAAAAAAAAAACTCAGAAGCCATGTGAAATTTCAAAAGCAGGTTTTCATAGATGATGGATTGGGGTAGGTTCGTTTTCTCATCTTCCTTCTACTTGACAAGGAACTAGGTAGGCAAATGTTTGTTTTAATATTTGTGCTACTCACAGTGTGGTCCAAACTGGCGACTTACGAATAAGTTTCTGCCCATGAGGAAGATAGTCTGTCCTGTATCCAAATATAAATTAGCACACCTCGTTCTTTACTGAGGAAATCTTGTTTGAAGGCAACAATTAAAAAAAAAAATCTGTGAGCTGGGTTTAGAGTGATAGTACCGTGGGCAGAGTGCTTGCTTTGTATATGACCAACCAGTTCCATCCCCAGCATCCCATGTGGTCTCCCCTCCCTAGCCATAGGTGATCCCTAAATGCAGAGCCAGAAGAAAGTCTTCACTGTAGTACTGCAGCACTGTCCTGTTGTTCATCCATTTGCTCAAGTGGGCACCTGTAACATCTCCATTGTGAGACTTGTTACTGTTTTTGGCATACCGAATACGCCACGGGGAGCTTGCCAGGCTCTGCCATGCAGGCGGGATACTCTTGGTAGCTTGCTGGGCTCTCCGAGCGGGATGGAGGAATCGAACCCGGGTCGGCCGCGTGCAAAGCACACACCCTACCCTTTGTGCTATCGCTCCAGCCCCAGAAGTCTTAAGTACTATAAAAACAAAATTTGTGAGCTGAACTAAACTGTCTGCTTAGTAATAATACTGATCAGTGCTCTGGTGCAGCTCCTTATCACAGCAGCACTGGGCATAATCCTGTCTCAGCATTCACTTGAAAACATGTAGATTTGAGAGCAGACAAAGGATTTTTCAGGAAATAACTTGATTCTAAAATTGCTCTGCCAACATGATTGCTACTTAATACCTCTATTGCAAACCACAACACCCAAAAGGAGAGTGAGAACAAAAGGGAATGCCCTGCCACAGAGGCGGGGTGGAATGGGGAGGATGGGGGGGGGGGGGTGAGGAGGTGGGAGGGATACTGGGATCATTGGTGATGGAGAATGGGCACTGGTAGAGGGATAGGTACTCGATCATTGTATAACTGAAACCCAAGCACAAAAATTTGTAAGTCTACAACTCTACCTCATGGTGTTGCACTAATAAAAAAGGAAAAAAATTTAATCCACAAAAAAATAATAAAATTTTTCTTCCAAATGAAAATCTGCTGAAGATTTCATCAAGATTAAAACTTACAGGATGTAAAAGATGAAAAAACAAGAGTCAGGGATAACCCATAATTTGCAGCCCTGGAGCCCTGGGTTCTGTCCGCAATAGCGCCACTATTCTAAACAAAAAGCATGAAGCTGGAGAGGTCGTACAGTGGGTAAGGCTCTTGCCTTGCACACAACCAGCCCAGGTTCAATCCCCAGCACCATGTATGGTCTTCTGAGCCTTGCCAGGAATGATTGATCCCTTAGCACAGAATAAGGAGTAACCCCTGTGTATCGCCTAGTATGCCCCCCAAATAAAACAAAAAAATCAGACATCTAACAGAATTAACTAACCCCCCCCCCCCCCAATCTTGGTTCAATCCCCAGCACTGCATTTGGTCCCCCAGCATTGTCAGGTGTGATCCCTGAGCATAGAAGTGTGTGGCCCAAGAAGCAATAATAAGGCCCTCCCGTTGATTGTCAATTTGCTCGAGCGGGCCCAGTAACGTCTCCATTGGAGACTTTGTTGTTACTGTGTCTGGCATATCGAATACTCTCGGTAGCTTGCCAGGCTCTCCGAGAGGGCCGGAGGAATCGAACTCGGGTCAGTCATGTTGGCTGCGTGCAAGGCAAACGCCCTACCGCTGTGCTATCGCTCCAGCCCCTGATAATGAACATTAATTTGCCATAAAACCAAGCTATCGCATGCCTAGACCTTTTAGTATAAATAACAAAAAATTTATATTCACACAAAAACATGGTCTGCTGTAAACATTTGTTTATGGCAGCACTGTTAGTAATAGCCCCAAAGTAGAAGTAAGCCAGTTGTCCTTTAAATAATGAATAAACGGGTACATGAATACCATGAGTAAGTTTAGTAATTAAAAAGAACAAACTGTTGATAAACAAAACACTTTAATCAGCTCTTCCCAGAATGCCCTGAGTGGAAAAGCCAATCCCCAAAGGTGACATACTGCTATAGGGCAGGCCCTTTCATATACTGTTCTGGAAAAAAACGATTATATAGGACTGGGAAGAGGATATGGAGTTTAAGGTGTTCAGGTGGGGCTGTGGCCACAATGTGGATTTGAAGCCTGGCACTGCATGTGGTATCCGGAGCAATGCCAGGCGTCACCCCTACCACAGGACCAGGAGTGTCGTCCCGTGTGTGTCCCCCCCCCCCCAATTAAAACAACCAAAATGATAGAAGACGTTACCTTTGGTTGGTGATCGTAGGGTAGGAGCTGCTCTAGCTATCCTACAGGAATAAAAGGAGAGAACTTTCTGATAGTTCTTTATCTTGTGATGTCATGGTAATATGAAGCTGCCTCTGGTAAACTGCATCGAAGTATGCTTACGGTAAAATTTGGGAAAACTGGTTTGAGTTTTCTTATATTAGTATTGAAGAGCATGCAAGATACTGACATTGGAGAAGATTGGGTAAAGGATACACAGAACCTCTCGTATATCTCTAGGATCTTACTTAAGATTCAAATTTTTCAAAATCGAAGGTTTAAGGAAGAAATACTGTGTCGTGTACCTTCTGGGGTTATACTAGTAAACAGATAGACATGGCCTCTGCCTCCTGGACCAGTGATCCTTTTTTCAGCAGGAAACCATGTTAAACAATTCAAGGCAAGAATGATATGTATTGTGAATGAGGGGTGGTGGTCCAGTATGTGCAAAGCATAGTACATGATTGAGCCTAATACTCAATTCAGGAAAGGAACAATGTCTTTTACTTCTTTGCAGGTGGAGGTGGGAGGTAGGGGGGCATCTAACTAGAGCCTCAGACATACAAGCGCTATACAACTAAGCTAAATCCTTGGCCCCAGGAAAGGAACAATTTAATATTTGCTGGATGGAATTATATTAGCATATGGAGAAATGCAGGAAGAGCATTCCAGACATTCTAAATAATCAGTTGCCATACTTTAACACCACTAAATAAAGTAATGCTTAAAAAAGTTGATGTGCTCTGGGCCAGAGGATAGGGCACTTGACCGTGGTTCAATCGCCAGCACCATGTATGACCCCCTGAGCCCTTCCAGGAGTGATCCCTGAGCACAGAGCCAGGATTAAGCCCCGACCACTGCCAAGTGTGGCCTAAAAAAAAAAGTTCTCTCCCTAGGCCTTGTTGTGTTGTTAATGTAGTGGAAAATGTGTACCTATTCTCTGGTGCTTGCGTATTTCATTGTGGGCAAATGTGCTTATGTTGTGGTACTTTGGCACATGGCCTCTCTGAGGCCAGAAACTGTGGGGCCAGTATTAGACGGCACAGCTGCTGGGATTGCACTTACTGCATGTGATGACAATAAGGGATTGGGCTTTTGATTCCACATTTGCATTTTAATCTGATGGATGTTTCCTCCAGCCCAGTATAACGGGGTTTGGGGATGAGGAAAATAGTTGACAGAATTCTTACTGTTTAAAAGTGATGACAGGGCCTGGAGTGATAGCACAGGGGGTAGGGCGTTTGCCTTGCACGAGGCCGACCCGGGTTCGATTCCCAGCATTTCATATGGTCCCCTGAGCAGCTCCAGGACTAATTCCTGAGTGCAGAACCAGGAGTAACCCCTGTGCAATGCTGGTGTGACCTAAAAAGCAAAAGCAAAAAAAAAAAAAGTAATGACAGGGCCGAAAGACAGCTCAGTGGACTGAGTACATGCTTAGCACATGGGGGACACAGGTTTGATCTCCAGCACTACGTGGTCTCATGAACAATGGCAGAAGTAGCCCCGGGTATCTCTGGGCATGATCCAAAAAATAAACATAGAGGGTTTTTTGTGTGTGTGCGTGTATGTGTGTGTGTGTGTGTAGTGTGTATAATGTAAAAATAATGGCTTCTGTTTGCTAATGCATCATTCTATACCATAGGTGGGTGCTGCCTTACCTTTGGATGTCCTGACCTATGAGGAGAAGACTTTATCAGCCATATTGAGAGTATGTAGCAGGTATGAGAAACAGTTGAACATTTCTAGTATACACAAAGATAAATGGAGAAATAGAGTAAACATGCTCGTTTCTGAGAATGTGAACAGTTTTGTCATTCTGAATGCTGAACAGCTGTTGTGAATTTAAACTGGAGAGAATATAAATAAACATCGATCAGCTTGTTCTTTGTTGTTTTGTTTTGGGGGGCCACATCTGACATTGCTCAGGGCTACTCGTGCTCTGTACCCAGGCCCGCTGAGCACTGCATGGTTTGGGAGGTCCTGTGCTGCCCAAACAGATGATCGGGGCCTGGGAGAAGGCTCAGGGGGTTCGTGCACATGTTTTGCCTGACAGAGGCCCAGGTTTAAGCCCCTGGACTTCCTGGTGTTCCAGTCCACTCAAAACAAACCAAAAAAAATGGGAGTCATACTCCATGTTGTGAGAAGCAGCACTCACTACGCTACAGTGGGTAGAGTGTTTGCACCGCACACTGCCAACCGTGTTCTCTCCCAGGCACCCCAAAATGATCCTCTGCGCAGTGCCAGGAGTAAGTGCTGAACACTGTCAGGTGTCCAACCCCACCCACCCACACACACACACACACACACACACACACACACACACCATCCCCCAGAAGAAGCTGAATTCCAAAGTGGTGGCTTTTAACCTTTTCCTTTTTGGTCAGGGCCACACTCAGAGGATTCAGGGCCTCCTCCCTATGAGGGCTTTCCTGACAGTGCTCAGAGTAACTGTGGTGCTGGGAGCAAAGCCACCCTCCCTTGTACGAAGCATGCTCACTAGCCCTTTGCTTTTTATCTCCTGGCTTTTGTGGGGACGGGGGGCAGAGGGTGGAGGACACACTTGTAATTTTTGGGGGGGTTGTTTTGGGTCACACCAGGCAGTGCTCAAGGACTGTTCCTGACTTGGTACTTCGGGGATCGTGTGATACAGTACCAACCAGGGTTGACTGTGTGCCTACTTGCATCTCTCCAGCCCCCTGACTTGGTTTTTATCCTTTTTATATCAGAAGTTGTTAAACCACTGCTTCCAGCTGTAGCTTCTCCCACTTGTGGGTCGTAGTTGCAAGCTCATAAAAGTGTATCATAGAAACATTGCTAGCAGAAGCTCAGGTTTTCTTCTGCCTAATGACATACTGTGCACTTTCAACTTTTAGAGTCTTATTTGAATTGATTTTTTTTTTTTTGGATGAAAAATTAGAACCGCACAAACCAAAGTACAAGGGAGATGTTTCAGGGACGAATCTTTATACTTCCTTCTTCTCTCCTCAGTGGCCTCGTCAAACTCTGGAGCTCTTTGACCTTGTTAGGATCTTACAAAGGCAAGAAATGTGCTTTCAGAGTCATTCAGGTAAAAAAAAAACATACCTTTACATATTGCCAAGTGTCACTTAGTAAGGAGTCCAACCACCTTTTGATATGTGCCCTGTTTTGGGCATACATGGTATGGTTAACATTTAGCTGGGATGGGAGTGGGAATTCAGGTCCTCCATCAATTTTGAAAATGTGAAATAAATGGGAAATGTTTGGGGATGAAACTATTGAGGTCAAATCTTATCTTTTCCCGTACTGCTTAATACCATCCCATATTTATTAGAATGCGCTTTTAAGCTTATCTTGAACATTTAATTATATCTAAGGCTTCTTCCCAGTAGGCCCTCCAAAGTGCTAATGCATGAACTTAATTTGTCACGTCAAACTGGGTATGCTTCTTCGTTGCCCTCTGTCTCAGGGCACTTTTCTCCTGGTGTTTGAAGTTACCTTTTCTCTCTCTTCTAGGTTTCTCCATTTCTCCTTGCATTGTCTGGTAATAGTAGGGAACTGGTATTGGATTGAATGGTCTTCAGTTTCAGAAGCATTCCTCTGCTTTTTGGTGCCAGTATAATGTTGGAAGACTGAAGTCGGCTAAGCTCCTGTTGGTGGAATTTGAGGGTGCTGAAGATGGTCCTTCTGGTTTCCGGCTCTCGCCTTTGGTGGGGTGGGCTTCAGCGGGGCATCTGCTGGCCCCGTCCCAGGCTAAGCACCCCACGCGCTCAGCTCATGCACGTGAAGGTCGGAGACCGGGCTGAGCTCAGCAGGGCCTTCACGCAACGCGATGTGATCGCCTTCTCAGAATTAACAGGGGATATCAATCCTCTGCACTTAAACGAAGATTTTGCAAAAAACACCAAGTTTGGAAGGACAATTGTGCATGGAGTTCTGATTAATGGACTTATTTCAGCTCTCCTGGGCACTAAGATGCCTGGACCAGGCTGTGTATTTCTTTCCCAGGAAATTAACTTTCCGGCCCCTTTATATACTGGAGAAGTTGTTTTAGCATCTGCAGAAGTCAAAAAATTGAAGCGGTTCATTGCTGTCATTGCAGTGTCCTGTTCTGTACTAGAAAGTAGTAAGACTGTCATGGAAGGCTGGGTTAAAGTTAAGGTCCCAGAAGCTCCTAAATCCTGAACTGTGTTTAAACATGCAAGCTCAGGGACAGGAGAGATGGCTCGGTGGGCTGAGTAGGTGCTTTGTATGTGCCAGGCCCAAGTTCAATCCCCAACACCACATGGTGGTCTCGGCTCAGCCCAGGGTGAGCCATAAGCACAAAGCAGGTAGTAGCCTATTGGCACCTTCTGGTGTGGCCCCAAAACAACAAAAATAAAGATGCGGGCCAGAATGATAGGACAGTAGGTAGAGCACGTGCCTTGCACACAGCCAACCCAGGCTCTGTCCGCAGCACCCCACTGAGCCCCCCAGCACTGCCAGGAGTGAACCTTGATTGCAGAGCCAGGATAAGCCCTGAGACCACTGGGGGTGGCTGAAAACCCACCAAAAATTGTTTCAAAAAATAAAGATGCAAGTTCAGGTGTCGTCATTTATTGTTATTAAAGAGCCTCGGGGAAAACAGGTTGCTGTTTTATGGTATAGCCTGTGTTTTGGAATGGCGGGGGGGGGGGGGGGGGGACGGTAAGGAGGGGTGTTCAGATGTCCTGCTTTCCAGTTTGGCCTGTTTTACATGGACTGAGTATGTTCTTTGTCTTAACCTGGTTTTTAAAATTGAAAAGATGAGGGTTGGAGGGATAGCGCAGCAGGAAGGGTGCTTGCCTTACACGTGGCCGGCCAACCCGGTTTGATCCCCAGCCTCCCATATGGTCCTCCAGGCACCACCATCTCTGAGCACTGCCAGGTATGGCCCCCAAACCCAAAATAAAGTGGAAAAGATGGGCCAGAGCTGTAAGACAGTGGGTAGGGCATTTGCCTTGCACACGGCCAAGTTGAGTTTGATCCCCAGCACCACATAAGGTCCCGGAGACCACCAGGGATTGGACCTGGATTGACTGACTGCGTCTGGCCTAACTGCATCTGTGAGGATGCCGGCTAATGGATGGACTGAAAAAATGGATAGCTCAGAAGGCTGCTCTGCCTGCTTTACACAATCCTTAGCACAGCCAGGTGAGCACCACTGGGGTGACCCAAAAGCAAAATAGGTAAGTAAATTGGGTAGATCTTGAATATAAATTTCAATTTTTATAGTTTGATTTATTTTTCTGAGGGTTTTTTTAAAAAAAATATCCTCCCATTTTACAGGTAGGATTATTTAAAAGGGAATGCCCTGCCACAGAGGCAGGGTGGGATGGGGGGGTGGGGGTGGGAGGGATATTATCCATGGTGGTGGAAAGTGGGCACTGGTGGAGGGATGGGTATTTGATCATTGTATAATCGAAACCCAAGCACAAAAAATTGTAAATCTACAACTGTACTTCATTGTGTTTCACTAATAAAAAGAAAAAAAAAAGAAATAGGGGCTGAAGAATAGTACAGTGGGTAAGGCACTTTTTTTTAAGCTAAAAAATGTTAAACGTTTACTACATATGGTAATAGAATACTACAAACGGCCTAACTTATTTTTTAAATTTTTATTAATGAATCACCGTGAGGTACAGTTACATACTTACAAACTTTCGTGCTTGTGTTTCAGTTATACAATGATGGGGGGGGGGGGGTAAGGCACTCTTATTGCATGTGATCGACCTGAGTTTGATCCTCAACACCCCACATGGTCCCCTGAGCCCATCAGGAGGGATATCAGAGTGTAGAGTCAGGAGTAAGTCCTGAGCACCACCAGGTGTTACCAAAAATAAAAATAAACGTATAAAAAGTAATGAGGGGTTAGGTTTGTAAAGGTTGAGTGGTACCAGAGAAGTAGAATGGCTAAGGTGCTTGCTTAGCTTGCATGTAGATTTGAGGCAAGGCAGTGGATAGTCTGAGCATTACGAGGGGCCACTCCTGAGCAGAGCCAGGAATATTCCGTGAGGCTCCCTACGTGTGCCCCCCCCCCCCCCAAATAAAGAGGTATTAAGAGGAAATGTCCCTAATACATTGATTCTAAATGGGTATCTATAACATGCAAAACTAAACCCAGAAGCTAATGGGATATCCTTTCATGGTCAAGCGGCATTTGGGGTGAGCGTGGTGAGTGTTTGGCCATGGCCATACCTGGTTATACTCAGGGCTTACTCCAGGCTTAGTGCCCAGGGACCACTCTTGGTGGTTCTTGAAACCATGTGGGTTGCTAGAAATTGTACCCAGATTGACCATGTGCAGGGTCAGAGCCACTACTCCATATACTATCTCCAGCTCCTTGTCAGTGGCTTTAGATGGTGACCCTGACCACGGCTGGATGCTTCGCTCAGGGAGATCAAATATAATTTATTGGGCATATTCTTCAAGCCCGTGTTCTCTCAAACATATATTTTGCTTTTGCTTGTCTCTGTTTCTTTACCTACTTCTACTCTGGAGAAGTCTGTGTTCTCTCTTGGAACACACACTTCCTTTCTCTCCCCTCACGTCTTTCTAAATGAGTTTCAATTAAAACTTGCTTCACTCCATATGCGTATATTTTATTACTGGATTAACACAGTTCCTGCGAAAGGGTTTTTCCTCTTAACGGTTAAGATAGATCACGATCACGACCATCCTGTTGTTCCTTGATTGCCTCGAGCAGGCCCCAGTAACGTCTCCTTCGTCCTAGCCCTGAGATTTTTTAAAAAGTGCCATATTCAAGGCTCTTTGAGGGTTAGGAGAATGAGACCCATCATTGTTACTGGTATTTGGCATATTGGGTACACCACGGGGAGTTTGCCAAACTCTGCCGTGTGGGCAGGTTACATTCGGTAGCCCCCTGGGTTTGTTCAAAGTAAGAATGAGATGTCATAAATGCGGCCACGCGCTTCCGGGAACTGGGTTTTATAGTCTCTGGGTCTTGGCCGTTGATGGGATTACACGGCGCCAGGGGGCCAGTTGGTGGGTGTGACCCCTGCCCACTGGAATATGCCGGTACCTCTACCGGTATCTTCATGTATGTGGAGAATGGTCTCAGCATGGTTGTGGCTGGTCCTGGAGGTCTTCGGCTGCCGGAGCCCTGGTCAGGGCGGGGAGGGAAACTCAACCCGCTCCCCTCAAAGGCGCCCCGGCGAGGACAGCCAGGCGCAGGGGCAGGAGACTGCGCTGTTCTCTTCCGGGAGCTGGGTTTTATAGTCTCTGGGTCTTGGCCATTGATGGGATTACACAGCGCCAGGGGGCCAGTTGGTGGGTGTGACCCCTGCCCACTGGAATATGGAGGATCTGGGTGGAGGATGCTCAGCTCCGATCCGAGCAGGCTTGGAGATCTCAGCCCCAGGACGCGCATGCCTTTGTTCCTTTGCCGGTAAACAGTTAAGATATACAGATAGATTATTTAGGGTTTTTTTTTTTGGGGGGGGGGGAGGGGTGGGCACACCCAGCTCAGGGCTTACACCTTGTTCTGTTCAGAGATCTTGTTCTTGTTCAGAGATCACTCCTGGCAGTGCTCAGGGTACAAACAGGGTCACTTGCATAAAAGGCAAGCACCTTATCCCCTGTGCTATCTAACCCTAGATCTTTGAAGAGCTTTTAACCTGTAATGATCCCTTAAATGGTTTGCTGAAGAAAAAATAGCCACTAGAGGGCAGTACTGTGTATAAAGTAAGCATTTTAAGCTGGAATATTGCATCTAGTTTGTGAAGGAAGGAAGATAAAGGCAAAATACACACAGGGAGCAAGAATGTTGTGTTAATGATTGTAAGAATGGCCCATCTGTATAAGTTTATATTGACATGAAATCTTATAGTTGAAACACTACACACGTTGAAAATTTGAGATAGGCTAACATTGAAAATTAAAACATGCAACTAAAGGCCAGAGAAATCCCCATCATCCCATTTGGTCTCCTGAGCCCACAGGAGTGACTACTGAGCACAGAGCCAGGAGTAAGTTATGGGTATTACTGAATATGACCCCAAAACAACACAAAAAGCTGAAGTTAGTACCCATCCTGTAAGCCAGGAGACAGTTTGTGTGACTTCCCATAAGTTTCACAGCTAATATTCAGTAAAACGGGGGCTCAAACCTGGCCTACGGGCTCTGGCTTCAAAGTACTTTGTTTTGTTTTGTTTGGGGACCACATGGATAGTGCTAGGGTTACTTCTGGCTCTGCATGCAGGAGTCATTCCTGCTGGTACTCGGTGGTACTTGAGGGATTATATAGGATGCTGGGGATGGAACCCAGGTGACTGTGTGCAAGGAAAGCATCCTACCCGTTGTACTACCACTCTGGCCCAGGCTTCAAGGTACTTTTTCCATCACCCAGTGGGTGTGTTTTTCTCATTACTGAAGCAATGTCACTTTCTGTGGCATTCAGGTACGTGGAATCACTTCTGTAGAACTCTTAAATTGAGAAGGGTCTAAAATAGATCTTCTCTGGTACAGTTACAGAGTTTCCTATATATTATTATTTGATCATTTCTTCTCCTACCTATTGCCTTTCCTTTTTCCCAGTTGACACCCAGGAGACTAGAGAAACACAGTGAGTAAGGCTCTTGCTTCGCATGCAGCTAACCCAAGTTACATTCCTAGCACCACATATGTCCCCTGAGCCCTACCAGCAGCGGTCTGTGAGCACAGAGCTACAAATAAGCCCTGAGCACTGCTGGGTGTGGCCCTAAAATCAAGTTGACACTTAGTTTTTCTGAACAGAATTACTGGGAGTTGTTCAGAAATGAAAAATTTGTTCAGGCCAAATTATGGTGGGGAGTTGGGGGAGGGCTGGGATGGGTGTCAGACTGACTGACAGCTCATTTATATTGTGTAACTCAAAAGTAACTTCCCAGGGCCAAAAGAGAGTGCAGTGGACTGATTTGCCTGCAGATCAGGATTAAACCCTGAAATAAGTAGGAGAGACCTCTGAGCACCAAGGCAGGTTTGTTCCTGAGCGCTGCCAGGAACACAGAACATACCAACGAATTAAAAATAAGCAATGGGTACTCAATCATTGTATGACTGAAGCGCAAGCACAAAAGTTTGTAAGTCTGTAACTGTACCCCACGGTGATTCACTAATGAAAAATTTAAAATAAAATATATAAAGCAAAACAAAAAAATAAGCAAAGGCCAGAGAGATGTGCAGGAGATAGTACAGGAGACAAAACACCTGGCTCACATGGGATAGCTTCTAAGATAATCCTAGTTCTATCCATTACTTGTCCCACTTCACCTCTGCTTCCACTCCCTCCCCTGGCAACCAATATGGTCCTCTGAGTATCCATGAGACCACAGATCTAATGCCCTTTCTCACCGCTTTTCAAAATAAAAGCCAGCAATAAGGAGAACTGGCTGGCTAACATTTTCATTCTGGGTCCTGTATAATATGTTGGAAAAAATAACAGTTTCTTGGGCGGGGGGTGTTGCACACACCAGTGATACCCCTGGCTCTGCACTAAGGAATTATTCCTAGCGGTGTTCAGGGAACCATATGGGATGCTGGGGACCGAACACATGTGCAAGGTAATTGCTTTACCTGCTGAACTATTACTCCAGCCCCAAGAATGAGATTTTCTAATATAAGCATGGGTGAACTCAAAATAGGGAATCTTCTCCCAGATAATTAGGAGATGGTGGACTTGCTTAGACCAGGTCAGATAGCAGCCCAAAATCACTGAAGAAATAGGCTAACTTATACTAGCACTTTCCACACAGGGGCATTGTGAGACTGCAATTTATGCAATTTTTGATTGCCAAAGAAAGATACACTCCTCTTAAGCAATTTCAACTTAATGTACTGGAAAATTGCTTAACAGATTTTTATATTCTATTAGAAACATCTCCATATTGATGAAAGGCTGCTTCATTCCTTTTTCTGAGCAGCAGACCTTAAGAAGCAACAGGGACAAATTCTCACCACAGACATTACTGGTGCTGTGGACCAGACTTGTGTACTCATCTATAAAAAGAAGAAATTGCTAAATGCACGCCAGTACCTCTTAGGTAACCACAGGTTTTCATTTTGTGCCGAGTTACTGGTCATTTTTCTTTTATGTTCTTAGAGGATGATTCAGAGTCCAGTTTACTTCCCAAGAAAATTGCTATTAAATTACTACTATTAGGGCTGGAAGAATGGCCCAAAGGGCTGGAGCACATGCTTTGCATTCAGAAGGCCCAGATTAGATCTTGGCACCACCTGGTCAGTCCTCCAAGCACCACTGGTTAAGTATCCCTGAACACTGCCTGGTGAGGCCCAAAACCCAAATAAAGAAATTACATCAATTAAGGGTTTTTTTTAAATTAAAACACACTCTACCAAGGCTTGACTGTCAGTCTGAACAGCTGGGCTGCTCTGTGTGCCACATGTACTGGCATAATTTATTAACTAGCTCTATCTGAACAGAATGGGAGTGCTTGGAATTGCTGTTGGGCTGCACTTGAGTGTCTCCAGAGTCCAGAGGAAGAACACTTCCTTTGTTCTTGGCTAGTATTCATTTGGATTACAAACAGCAGAAACAAGAATTGTCAACACTTGGCCTGGGAGGTAACTCAAAGGGCTGGGGCCACACTTTGCATGCAAGAGATCCAAGTTAATCCCTGGCACTGCATGGTCTCACGAGCACTGCCAGGAGGGTCCCTCCCTTGCTCCCAACCCCAAATTTTCAACATCTACAGAGAAATTTTGCACTGAAGCAAAACCTCTAAATGAAACCACTTGAGTTCAAAATCATCAACTCTACTAGCATTATATAAATAGAACAGCATCAGTAGGAGGCCCCACAGTCTGTTTCTAGAGCAGATTCTAGGATTGTTCTTAGATAATACTTAGATTCTAGGATTGTTCTTCGAATTCTGGGGAAAAGTCTTCTGTGATGTAATAGCAAGTATAACAGGTAAAAATAAGAATAATCTTATGATGTCAATTAGATTTGTTTTACATTCAGATAGTATTTTGTTGTTTTATTATTTATTTGGTTTTTGGGTCACACCCACTCTACTCAGGGCTCACTCCTGGCTCTGTGCTCTGGGATTACTCCTGGCAGAGCTCAGGGACCATATGTGGTGCCAGGGATTAAACCCAGGTTGACTGTGTGCAAGGCGAAAGCCTTACCCGCTGTACATTCTCCCTGGCCCAGATTATGAAAATTTAAAGTAAAATCATTTTGAGTAAGGAGGCAAGGGTGCTTCAAGAAGTACCAAACTTTTCAGAAGCTTCAGAATTTCACTAAATCCTTTGCCTGGTCTATAGCAGCCTCACTAAAACACTATTTTCAATCTGGTCAAACAGTTAAATTCTTACATAACCTACACGTGTGCCATTTAAACATTCAGCAACATGTAAAAATAGAGATTTTGGGGGTTTTTTTTGGGGGGGAGCAGGGGGACACACTGGGCTGTACTTAGGGTTTTCTCCTGGCGCTGCACTCAGGGATTATTCCTGGTGGGACTTGGGGAACATAAAGGGTGGTGAGGATCTAACCGGATCAACTGTGTAAGTGCCTTACCTGCTGTATTATTTTTCTGGCCCCAAGAATATAAATCTTGGGCTAGAGTGATAGCACAGCAGGTAGGGCGTTTGCCTGGCACGTGGCCAACCCAGGTTCGATTCCCAGCATCCCTTATGGTCCCCTGAGCACTGCCAGGAGTAATTCCTGAGTGCATGAGCCAGGAGTAACCCCTGGGCATCATTGGGTGTGATTCAAAAATAAAAAATAAAGATAAATAAAGAAAAAGAATATAAATCTTTGTTCCCCTTGCTGTCCTGACTTTGTATATGTGGCAGTCAAGGTACTGCACTTATTTATTTGAGGTACCGCATCTGGAGCGATAGCACAGCGGTAGGGTGTTCGCCTTACAAATGGCCAACATGGCCGACCCGAGTTCGATTCCTCCGCCCCTCTCGGAGAGCCCGGCAAGCTACCGAGAGTATTCGATATGCCAGACACAGTAACAATAAAGTCTCCAATGGAGACGTTACTGGGCCCGCTCGAGCAAATCGAAGATCAACGGGAGGGCCTTTACCTTTACCGCATCTGGAACAGCTTTCAATACAGTGTTGGGGGCTACACCCAGTGGTGCAAGGGGCCACGTAGTGCTGAGGATCAAACCTGGGATTCCCACATCCTTTGAGCTATCTCCCTTAACTTAAGGTTCTGTGTTTATTATTTCATTAGATTTATCCAGCCTGAGCTTGGAAGCAAAACTAACTTGATTCACATCTGTTCTGCCCTGGAGAAGGTTCCTCATCTCACCCCACCCCCTCAAGACCCCCATTCTGCATGGGTTCAAAAACTAATGAATAGGGCTGTGGATGTGGCTCAGTGGCAGACCTTCTGTCTTGCATGTGTAAAGCCTTGGGTTCAATCCCCAGCACTGCAAAGCAACACAACAAAACACGACGGATATTGGAGCTGTTGCAGGGTGAGTATGTGGAGGGAGGCACGTCAGGCAAAGACAAGATGTTGTTGTTGTTGTTTTGCTTTTTGGGTCACACCGGGCGATGCATAGGGGTTACTCCTGGTTCATGAACTCAGGAATTACTCCTGGCGGTGCTCGGGGGGCCATATGGGATGCTGGGAATCGAACCTGGGTTGGCTGAGTACAAGGCAAACGCCCTGCCCGCTGTGCTATCTCTCCAGCCCCAAAGACAAGATGTTGGGAAGAGTGTCAGAGTAATAGTTTGGGGTTCAGGTACAGTGTGGATGGAATTTTGGGGCTGAGAAAATGAATGCCAAGTTTTCTGGCTCTGAGGATAAGGTTCAGTGGACCAGGTAGATTGGGACTGTGGGGGCCTGAATGTGTCTGAGGGATCCTGTTTGAGATTTGGGGAATAAAGACTTTGTGTTGAGCTAGTAGTCCCTAGACCAAGAGTAGGTTTTTAGGGTTCCCAGATCTAAGCGCATGGGCCTGAAGGTTCTGGGATCCAAGAATCCAATTCTGAGGGCCCAAGTCTTAGGTTCTTGGGTCTGAAGAACCAGATACAAAAGTCCCATAAAACAAAACAATGTGAAGGGCTTGTTTGGGGAAAGTCTTTGGATATACAGGATGAGACTGAGGGCTCCAACGTGAAAGTTTAAGGATCTCGGGGCTCTTGGCCTGGGTGTGAAAGGTCCAATTATAGGGGCCAGGGCAATAGAAGTAGGGGGGGGCACTTGCCTTGCAGGAGGCCGACCTGGGTTCAATCCTGGGCACCCTCCACGGTCCCCCAAGCCCACCAAGAGTGATCCCTGAACGCAGAGCCAAGGGTAAATCCTGAGCAGCGCTGGGTGTGGCCCCCAAACAGAATTAAAACGAACCTCAAGTCTGACAGGTCCCCCCGAATCTCCACTCTGACTTGTCCCGCTTCCAAGAGCTTCCTGGAAAGGCTTGGGGGAATTTCTGGGCCAGAGGGTTCCTGGACCACCAGGCAAGGGCAACGTGGGGTCCTTCGGACCCGAACTTCTCCGGAGTGGAGGTCTGGGCACGAAACCTCCCGGCGTCCGAGGCGAATTCTAAGGGTACCGGGCAGGCGGTGCGGGTGGGAGGAGCAGAGAGGCGCGGGTCCGAGGCAGCAGCGCGGGTGGCTTTTGGGCGCGGGTCCGAGGCAGCAGCGCGGGTGGCTTTTGGGCGCGGGTCCGAGGCAGCAGCGCGGGCGGCTTTTGGCGCTAGGACCCGGCGGGAGGCGGCGACGCGCCGGGAAGCCCCAGCCGACCGTGACGCCAGAGGCGGCGGCGGCGCTAGGACCCCGCGGGCCGGGCGGGCGGGCGGCGGCGGCGCGTGGGGCGGCGCGTGTTGACAGCGGCGGCGGCGGCGGCGGCGGCGGAGCCGGGCGGGCGGCGGGAGGCGGCGGCGCCTCTGGTTCCTGCCGGGCGGCGGCGGACGGGAGCCCCGGGATGGCGTTCATGGAGAAGCCCCCGGCCGGCAAGGTGCTTCTGGACGACACGGTGCCGCTGACAGCAGCCATCGAGGCGAGCCAGAGCCTGCAGTCGCACACGGTGCGCGGCCCGCGGGGCGGGCGGGCGGGCGGCGCGGGGTGGCCGCGAGCCGGCCGGGCGGGCAGGGTCGCCCGGGCGGGCCCCCGGGCCGGGGGTCGGCGTCGCCCCGGGGGAAGGGAGGGCCCGGCGCTCCCGGGGCCCAGGCTGACGCCGCGGCGGGGAGGGTCCGGGCGGCCGGCGCGCCTCCCCTCCCCGGGGCCGAGGCGGGGTGGGGGCGCGGCGGGGGCCTCCCCACCGGCCCCGGAAGGGACCCCCCGCCGGGGGAGTTGCTGCATTCCCGGGCCGCGGAGGATGGAGACCCCCCGCCCCCTCCGGAGCGCCCCTGGCACTTCTTCCCCCCCCCGGGGCCGCCGAGTTTCCCTCCTCGCCGCCGAGGCGGGGCGGGTGCCTGTGCCCGGGCGCCGCGAGGATGACAGGCGCCTGCGTGTGCCGGCGTGGCGGGCGGAGGGCGCGGGGGTCTCTGCGGGGCCCTGCGGAGGCAGGTGTGCGGGTGCGCGTCCGTCCGCCTGCCCGTCCTCCCTCCTCCAACCCGCTTGCTCGTCCGAGCGTCCGTGGGAGTTTGGAAGATCCGCCGGAGTCGCTTTAAGGAGTAATAGATCTGCATCGTAAACACAGACTCTGTTACATTTTTGTAACATAGTCGCAAATGTAACCAAGGCTCGCTTTAATAGGACTTTAAAACCCGGCTTGCTTTTACTTGCGCTCTCTCTCTCTCTCTCTCTCTCTCTCTCTCTCTCTCTCTCTCTCTCTCTCTCTCTCTCTTAAATGTACTATCTATTATGATTTACTGCCAATAAATCAAGGAACCAGAAAAACACCATAAAGGTGGAGCTGCCGGCCAGTGGCACTCTGGGCAGTCACGAATGTGGGGGGTTGGGGGTAGGGGTGAGAGTGATTCCTTAAAATGTTTCCTTAGGTCGCCACATGAGATTCTGGCTGAGAGGCTCATTTGTGGACCATCGCTGTGTGTTTTAGGGTTCATCATCTGGAGGCTAATGCCCTACAATAGCCCTCTGTTTCTCTTTTTGTTCTAGCTGTTCTGATGACTTCAAAGAAGCCTTTTATTCTGTTGGATTCAAGTGGGACTTTTTTGAACCTCAGTTTCCTTTTCCTGCACTCGGGCATTGTAGGTTGGATTGTTCAAAGGTTTCATTTTCTGCCGGGAAAATGATGATGTTCTTTAAAGGGCATTTTATTTCTTGGTGCCTACTCCTCCGCCCCTTTTAAGACTTGTGAGAAGACGCTGCTAACACGACCATAATTTGTTAGACCCTCTTTAATTTGTGCCTAATGAAGTATGGATTAAGAGTTGAAATTTACTGCCAGAAGTCAGGAATAAATTGTAGTAAACTAGATTCTTGCCATGCCCGTTGTCAAGAATTACATTCTTTTCGGGGAGTAGGTTTGACTTTTAGGTTTATTTTGTACTATAGTAAATAGAGAGGAGACATTCATGTGGATGTACACAGACCACTTCTTCAAGGAGTTCACCTCTACCTTGACTGGATTATTTTACTCTCTAATTACCTCTTTAGTTCCCTTCAGGCCCTACCCCCCTTTTGTTTTCTCTCCCTAAGACTGTGAGGGAAGAGGTCCTTCTTCTTCCTTCTGTCAGTCCCTGATATCTGATGGCATTTCATGTTTGTTGAATGACTAAGTAAATGACTGAAAATCTTACTCTGCTCTTCTGTTTGTTTAAAATGGTAGTGGGGAAAATTAGAACAACGTGGCATTTGAGGTCACTGCTTCAGCAAGGTGGTCAAAGATGTCAGGATTCCATGTTCCCATTTCTACTGCTGAGTTTTCTAAAAAGAAAATAAAGTAAAGTAACATAAGAGTAGAGAATGTTAGTTCTACAATGATGACTGAACACAATGGACTGTGACTCACAAGGAATTCATAGAGGCAGATGTGGTGCAGTAAAAAAAAAAATGTAGCATTGCGTTGCATAATTTTTGACTGTTCTATGTTTTTCGTGTTTTAATGGTGAAGTCTGAGACTAAGAAATGTTGCATCAGCCCTGAACTTGACTGAGAAAATCATGTGCTGATACAAACTTTTTGGACCCTTAGTGCCTTTCCACAATTTCCTTTAAAATAGGAACTGCAGGACAGGAATTGGGTTGAAGGGCCAGTACCCATGCTTTGCATGCCAGAGCTACAAGTTCGATTCCTGGCACCACATGATCTCCCGGCTCCCTTGAGAGTAACCCCCTAAGCTCTGCCAGTGTGGCCCCACTCCCCGAAAGAAAGTAGTTGTTAAAGAGTAGTCTTTAGAAGAAAAGAACATTGTTTCTTAGGGATGGTGGAAGATGGTTTTCCAACTTGTTAGCTGAATACAAATGGTACCCAAAGGTTAGAAGCCCCTATCTTTCCTTCGAAATGCCAAATCTTTTGGAAGTTGCTCCTTGGCTCTTGGAAGAAATATTTACAGAGAGTATATAACTATACCTCACATCACTGTCACATTTTTAAATTGTATATTCATGAATAGTCTGTGCATTCTGATCTTGCATCACATAGTCTAGCAAAAAATGATTTTTAGTAATACGGGTATGCATTTTTTTAAAGCTTCACATAATGGTCACAATCCATTCTTTTTACAAAAGGAAAATCTGGTGTATTGGGCTGGAGCGATAGTACAATGGATAGGGTGCTTACCTTGCACATGGCTGACCCAGGTTCAGTCCTGGCATCCCATGTGGTCCCCAAGACCCACCAGGAATAATCTGTAAGTGTAGGCCAGGAATAAACCATGAGCACAGCTGGATATGGCTCAAACTCCTCCAAAAAAATCTGTTATCGGTGCTGGAGAGATAGTATAATGGATTAAGGTAGTTGCCTTGCGTACAGTTGACCTGGATTTGACCCCTGGCACGTATGATCCCTGAAACTCTGCCAGGAGTGATTCCTGAGCTCAGACCTAGTAGTAGGCTCTGAGCACTGTAAGGTGTACCTTCCTCCCCAAGCCCCCAACCCCAAGAAAATCTGGCATAAGATCTGCAGTGCAAAGCTGGAGAGATGGTACAGCAGGTAGGACACTCGCCTTGCACGTGGTTGACCTGGGTTTCAATCCCTAGCATCCCATATGGTCCTATGGGTACCTCCAGGCATAATTCCTGAGTACATAGCCAGGAGCAACCCCTGATGGTCGTTGAGAGTCGAAGGATGTATTTACTCTCTCTCCCCCACATCTAAGTTTTGATCTTCATTAAAGAAAAAAAAATCTGCTTGATAAAACAAACAGGTCTGTGCTCTGGGACCACTCCTGATGAGTTCAGGAAACCATAGGGGGTTCGTACTATGTCCCTGGTCCCCATAAGTAAATTCACTTCTGTTCATAGTTCTTGTTACTTACCAGCTTCTTGACCTTAGGAAGCAGGATTTATTGGGAATATTGTAAGTTGTACATAATTTATAATTTATGGGCTTGTAAGGCATAAATTTTGTGGATTAGAAGGATAAAGGGAACATAAGAAAGGTATATTTGGATGCAGAAGTGGTGATTGCATACCCGACCAAGATTTGAAAACTTTATTTTCACTTTTATGGAGTACAGTGAATTTAGCTTCATGAAATATGCTAGGCCTCTGCTACAAGGAAATGAAGCTTCCATAAAATTAGAAATGTTGTTTTTTAGGAAGAGGATGCTTTAGGCAAGAGGCAAGAGGAAGATAAGAATATTCCGAACAAAAGTCAGTCTGGTAAAAAGATGCACAAGTAAATTGTGAGAAACTTTTGGAGGACTGAGAAAAAAAGACAAGGGAAATAAAGATTGGGATGAAATGAAGGAGAAAATGTTTAAAATCAAAGACTTGAAAAAACTGCTTACCTCCATGTAATAGAAACCAGGGGACACTGACAGGTTTGTGAGATGGTTGTTATCAAACTATTTACTCAGACCTGTTTATTCAGCATTTGGTTCTTTTTATCTTTGAGGAAATAACCTTAATAATTTTAGGGATGTTGGAGGAATATGAGAATTTTAAAAATCTGGGTGCGGGAGATAAGGATCTTACTTGCCTTGCATGTGGCTTCATTGGCCATAATCCTGGTTTGAATCCCTGGCACCACATATGGTCTCCTGAACACCACCAGGGGTCACTCCGGAGCACAGAGACAGGAGAAGCCCCTTAGCACTAGGTATGGCCTCCAACTCAAAAAAAAAAAAAAGAAAAAGTTTGTGGAAAGGATATTACATGTCAGAACCTTTTCTGAAAATGGAACTTTCCTTGAATCTGTGGGTTTTACAAGCTGCATCCCAGCATGGCTTATTTATTCCACCAGGATTTTTTTTATTCAACAAAAACATCGAGTGCCTACTGTGTGCCAGGCAGGCTGGAGATGAGGAGTGTTGGACAGCTCCTTCTTACATGGAACTTTCGTTCTTTGGTTTGTAAGCTCCTTCGTTTTCCATTTTGACTTGGTATATACGAGCCAAGAAGAATCCTTTGGTCTCATAACACAGGTGCTTTGTGACTTAACTTACCAAACTTTAGTTTCTTAACTTGTGAACTTTAAAAATAGTCTTGTGAACTTTGAATAGCCTTCTGGGGCTATTGCAGAGCTGGAGAGAGAGTACAGCTGGTAGGGCGCTTGCCTTGCACACAGCTTGATGCTGGCAACCACACATGGCCTCCCAAGCCAGCTTCAAGAGTGATTCCTGAGCAGTGCCACCTGTGGCCCCCAAACAAAAATACCTTTTAAACTCTTCACAAATCATAAGAATACCTATATAAATGTGATGCCAGTTTAGGAGATGTTGTTTGAGCCTGACCTTTTATTTCTTTTTTGATGGTGGGGAGAGCACACCTGGCAATGCTCAGGGCTTATTCCTGGTGGTGCTCTGGGTACCACATGGGGTGCTGGGGATTGAATCCGAGTCAACTGCATGCAAAACAAACTCCCTACCTGTTGTACTATTTGCTCCAACCCTTGAGTTTGACATTTTAACTGATCCGGAGCTCAGTCTCTGGATCTGTCTAGGTTGCCTTTTCAGTT